CTGTGTTGTGTGGTATGGCAGATGTCGTTGACAAGGTCTGTCGAGTTGCATTGGGCTGCAGCAGTGGTGTGGTGTTCGTGTTCGCTGGAGTGGTGATCGGAGTCCGTTCAGGAGTGACTGCATTGTGCGTTGCTGGTGCAGGTATGGGCGTATTGAGCATGGAAGGTGTGCGTTGTGCACTTGCAGTGGTGGGATTGTGTGTTGGAGTGCTCGTGTATGATAACCAAATGCCTGCGGGGGAAGTGCCCAATCTCATCTGGCGGCATCTTCTCAGCGAGTTATCTTCGTCATTTGGTAGGGGGAACTTGAGGATGAAAGGTAATTCCTTGAGCATGGGAGGTGTAACGATGCCTGTAGAGTTCGGTAGCAGTGCGGTGGTGAACTCAAGGACGAAAGGTAATTCCTTGAAGTTTTCGTAGTCGATGAGCTCCTCTGCCGTAATCCTCTTGTTTTGGATGACGAGGTGTACGATCCTCAGCATGTACTCCCTCATGAAGATGAAGACGATCTGCGCAAGGATAGCTTTCTTCCTGGTGGTGTGAAGTAAGGCCTGGAACTCTAGCATCCTGATCCTGTCTGACGGCGCCAGTGAATAAAGTTTATCCAGGTTTCCGATCACGAACCAGAGTACGTGATCGAACCATGTGAAGTTCTTTTCACACCCTGTACAGGGACATTTGAGGAATGGCCTCCCTGCGTTCCATAGCTTTTTTAGCTCGACAAGGTCATTTGGGGACTTTGGGATGCCTTTCTGATACAGGAGCGACTTCCGTGGGCATTCCCCTCTTTCTAGCTTATCTAGTGGACGGAAGTCCGCATCGAGTCCATTTCTGCCAACAGGAAAATAGACTGTGTCATTTCTAGCAGCAGTGCGACAATTTTCAATGTCATTTGCGCTGAGTCCTGCAAGAGCTGCATACGCGTCGACACTGATTGGCACAGTGTAATTAAAGATGTCCAACTTCCATAGCTGATTATGGACGCGTTGGACAACTTCCTCCGTCCATGTGCTAGAGGCGAGTGGTAAGAACGGGCTGTTCTTGGAAAATTTGTGGTCCGTGTCTCTGGCTGCTCGCAAGATGTCAGCGTACACATTGGTCCTCCTTGCAGCTTCCTTCTTTTTGAAGTATTCTAGTTCGATCGAAGTGAGAGAAATTCTGCTGATGTATTCTTCAGAGAACGTCTCGTTACGCTCCATGGTCGAGACCTGTCCAGAGGCATCCAGATGTGCAGTATCATAGCCTATGTGTCTATGCAATGGGCAATAGGAAAGTTTCAACCCCGTTGTACCCGTTGAATAGCCCCCCGGGCCCCGTTGAATTCTCGTTGAATGGTACAACGGACCCTCCCCGTTGAATATTGTTCAACAGGGAGGGTGCATTGGGCCTCGGA